CACAAAATGGCTATTGAAATAACCATATCTATTCTTCGCATACCTGCAAGCAAATCCATCTCCAACTGTCTACCGTAGCTTGATTCCCGATCCAGTGGTGGGCCAGTTCATGGGCGATGACGTAGGTCAAATGGGCATCATCTCCATAGGTGGCGAGATTTTCCGAAAGCAGTACATGACCCCAGTTTTCCATTCCTCCATCGTAGTCGGGGATCAGGATGAAATCGATCTACAATAATTTTTTTAATGTACCAAGTCATTTATTCGCTTATGTGACTGAGTGATCTTGTACTCCCCCCCCCCTTTTTAAATAGCTATTTTAAAAGCAGTACAGACCTTATTCAACGGCAATGGAATTTCCATAATGCTAGAAAGGAGCTCAAAAGAATTGATGGCAATGTCCAATACACGCAAAGCGACCGCTTGTGATGTGCCATGAACTCGTACCGTAACCCCAAACGATGTTTGTCGAGTGATCTGGAATAAAAAAAATTTTGAAAAATAATTTGTAGAAAAAGTGGAATTAAGTTTTCTGAAAGCCGTGAAGACTTCCAAACAGAAGAAGAGAAAATGAAACTGTACAGAAGAATTTTTTACAACTTAATTTTGACATTAATGACGTAATTTTTATTTAACATAACGTATCTCCTCACTTCTGATTTCAATAGAAATTATAAGCTCTTATTTTTTTCATGCTATTTTTTACATGGATATGATTATGAGCTTTTTTCGATGAAGTATCTTGACTTTTTATTGTTAAAAAAATTTCCAAGACAAGGGCTGCTTTGGAATTTCTACTCGCTCTTCTTATTCTTCATGAAAATTTACAATTATTCTCACCTTTCATTTACCTTCCCTGAAAATAGATATCCTCACAAACAATACAGGCTGACGTTGTTGTTATTGCCTTTATGCTTGTTTTTGTTATCCCATATGTGAATGAGGTCTGATGAATTTTTTTCTAAATCATTTTCGTCACTAGCGTAAATATGTCTTTAAATAAATCGCACGGGGATAGACAGTCGTTCTATTTTTTCGAAAAACAAGTGGGGAAAGAGCTGGGGGGAGGGTATTTTTATTTTGTTTGACAAACCAAAGGCACACTTATCCTAAGCTTATCTTCTGAAAAAATGTTGTTCAAATTTTTTCATGT